TCCCACTTCTCAAATAATCTTTCTGAGCCCATGAAATTATATGTCTTTGCTCAGCCGAGCTCCAACTTCTCATCTTCCTTAGATCAAAATTGAAAAAAACAGTAACAAGATGTCAACACCACCACCAGGGAATCTTAGTAAAATAAGAAATCAAGCCCTATCAGGTATGCATCTATGAAATTATGCCTAATTGGGTTATTCATTTTCTTTCTCCTGTATGATAATTCCTTTAAAAAGCATACGTTCTGTCACTCTGTGTTCTTCAGAGCTCTATCTAGGACAAAAGTTTGATAATCTATAACAGTGGTTGGCAAACGGTGTCCTGGGGGGCAATCCAGCCAGCCTCCTGCTTTTGTAAACAAAGTTGTGCTCATTTGTTTGTGAGTTACTTGTCTGTGGCTACTTGCATCATACCACAGCCAAACTGAGCAATTTTGATGGACATTGAGTGGTCCACAAACTTAAATATGTACCATATGGCCCTTTATAACAGGAAAAGTTTGGTGGCCTCAAATCTCGAATAGTGTCTTTCAGTAGCCACAAATATGTAAGCCACAAATGAGAAGCCGCATATGTAATTTCACATTTTCTGGTAGCCACCTTAAAAAAATAAACACAAACAGGTAAAATTGATTTTAGTGACATTTAATTTTACTCACTATGCTAATATTATCATTTCAACATGTCATCAGTGTAAAGATTATTAACGAGATATTTTACAATCTTTTTTTTTTGTATTGTTTGTGAATTCTGGTGTATATTTAAAGCACATCTCATTTGGACCAGCCACATTGTGAGTGCTTGATACGCCTTGTGGCTTGATATGACTTGTATCAGATAGTGTATTAAATTACAGAGCCCATAAACCTTGGATTTACTTTTATTGCACTTAAGACTTTGAAGCTGGTGAAAATAAAATAATCTTCCTATGAGTATATGGAGATTCCCTTTAATTTTGAGGGCAGGCCCTGGAGAGAGTCCATAGTCAGGTGTCCTATACCTTCTTCATTTTCATCTGTCACCACCAATCTCCGCAGCAAGTCTGAGGTCTGCAAAGTCGCAGGTCGTCAAGCAAAACTGAAACCATATGCAGCGTGCTGCAGCTTATTAAAGCAGAAAAGCAGACTGATGCATTTTTTAGCCATAAGATGGAAAATAATGAACACAATTATTATTAACTGCACTTTGCAGTGAAGTCAAACAATCTTTCCTTCCAGCTTTCTGTTTAAAAGAGGCATTCACTGGAGTTCCCAGTGCAGCAATAAAAAAAGTGATAAAAAAATCAAAGTGGAAGAGCTGGGCCGGGGTTAGTTTTTAAGGCATACATGAAAAGAATGAGGAAGAGGTTTGAAGTCATTCTTTGAAAAAAGAACACAATGTGACATTTAACGCGCCGCACCATGTCCTGGGCTGTGCTTTCTATTGTGTCACTGACTAGGCAAATTTCTCCTTCTCGTGGGTTAAGGACAGCACCAGGAGCATTGGGAATGAGAGCGGCCGGCATCAGTCCCTTTTGGCCTGCCGTCCAGCCGTACCCGCTGTCTCTGGCTTTGGCTGGGCTCTGGTGTGGGCTTAACAGCTTGATTTGCATCTTGAGAAGGGGACCCATCAAGGCAAATCCAGCCAAATGAATGAACCACTGCAGGTGGACAATTGCTGGGTGTACCTCTAATCATATAAAAGCAGAATTCAGCCTGCAGTCCCTGGGAGAACACAGGAGTGGGAGTGGAGACCAGGAGCCGGGTTCCTGGGCTTGTCTCTGCTAAGCCACCAGCTGGGTGACGTTGGACACCATCTCCTCTCGGTTGCCATGTCCTTGTCCGAGAAATGGGGTGGGCTGGCTCATCACCAAGGACTCATCCATTCTGATGTTCAGTACTTCTAGTTATAAGACTACTTTTATATTTGGAAGTATAAGTGAGACCCTAGAGCAGTTAGACCTCTTACTGCAGGGAGTGGGTAGTTTGGACTGTACCCCCTTTACACGTCCCACAGGTTTCCCATGACTAATCAAAGGCAATGGCCAGCCCTTCTTTTTCCTCCTCCTAATGTTGGGAGAAGCCATATTTTCCATTTTTATCTTTTAGGACTCTTCCTTTTCTCCCCTCCTCTCCCTCTTTTTTTTTTTTCCAATAGGTCAAAATTCAAAGGGTAAGTAAGAATATACAATGCAGGCCTCTCTCTTATCTTGTCTCCTGGTCACCTCATCTTTCTCCATGCAGGCAACCAATGCTGTGTGTATTCAAGCGAATATATATTTTTTTTCCTTTTTTAGCTCGAATGGTACTTCTAAACTTTGCTTAAACAAAACAAAACAACTCACACTTTGGAGATCATTCCATTATCTGCACAAGCAGATCTTCCTCATTTTAACAGCTGGATGGTTCTGCAGGAGTGGATGTATTACAATTTATTAAACCAGGCCTCTCATGATGGACATTTAGTTTTCCATCTTTTGCTGTTAAAAACAGTGCTTTAGTTAAACATTCATCATTTTGCACAAATTTAAGTGTATTTGTAGGATAAAGACAATGAAGAGGAATTATTGGGCCGGAGGTGGGTGCCTTTTCCCTTTTGATGGATATTGCCTGATTGTTGTGCCCAGAGATCACTCCCATCAGCAGTGTAGAAGAGGGTGTGCTTCCGTACACCCCAGCCAGTGCAGTGTGTGTAGGACTTCCTGATGTTTGTGAATCTAATAAGTTCAAAATGATGTCTTGGTGTAGTTTCAATTTGCTTTTCTTTTACTATGAGTGAGAATTTACTTATCAATGAATCACATCATCTGCTCATTTTTCTTCACTGTTAGCTTTGTTTCTAATTAACTGTCAGTACTTTAAAATAGAACCACTGTCCTCTTTCATAGAAACCTTCATTGCTCCTTCATTGTCAGTATAATAAAAGTGCACATTCACTGGACTGGGACTGGTGCCCATCAGAGCCAGGGCCCTCCTTTTTCTTCAACCTCATATCCCCGTGTCTTTTTGGGTTTTTGCCCCTGTTCTATTCTCTGGTCAAACCAAGATGCCCTGTAGTTCCCCCCGCCCCCCACTTTGCATCTCCCTGCCTTCTCGCCCCTGCTTACGCTGCTTACACCACTTGCAGTGTCTTCTCTTTGCCTCTTTTCGTAAAAAACTCTTCATCCCTCAGAGCTCAACTGGGTATACCAGTCCTTCCATAAAGCCTGTTCTGGAGCCCCAGTGAGAATCACTCAGTTAGGGCTGTGCTCCTTTAGGGCATGTTTATTGTTTGACTGTAGCCGTGACCTCATTCTATGGAGCCCTGACCACGTTCTGCCTTGTGTCATTGCTAATGGTAGACATAGCTGCCTGGTACCTGGCTGTGTGTCTTACCCACCTTTGCTTCTCCTTCAACCCTAAGTCAGAATTGAAGGAAGGGGCCCCTATTTCTTCCTTCTTTGGAGAATACCACAGTGACATTTTTCTTAAAAATTGTGGTGTAAATATTCCTAGCATAAAATCATTTAAACCATTTAAGTGTACAATTCAGTGACATGAAGTACATTCATATTGTTGTACAACCATCACCACCATCTGTCTCCAGGACTGTCTTCATAATGTAAAACTGAAACCGTATGCCCATTAAACACGAACTTCTCATTCTCCCCTTCCCCCAGCCCCTGGCAACCATCATTCTGCTTCCTGTTTCTATAAATCTGATTTAGGCACCTCATATAAATGGAATCATGCAGTATTTATTCTTTTGTGATTTGATTATTTCACTTAGCATAATGTCCTCAAAGTTCATCCGTATTATAGCATATGTCAGAATTTCCTTTCTTTTTAAGACTCAGTAATAGTCCATCATGTATATATCACATTTTGTTCATCTATTCATTCATCAATAGATATTTCGGTTGTTTCCACCTTGTGACTACTGTGAATAAAGCTGCTATGAACATGGGTCCATGTGTATGAACATAACTCTTAGGATCTCTGTTTCTGGCTTTTCTGGGTGTATACTCAGAAGTGGAATTGCTGGATCATATGGTAATTCTTGGTTGTTTTTGAGGAACTACTATGGTTTTCCTCAGCAGCTGTACCATTTTGTATTCCCACCAGCAGTGCGCAAAGGTTCCAGTTTCTCTACATCTTCTCCAACACTTGTTATTTTTGTTTTTTTCCTATTTGTCTTTTTTTGGATAATAGCCGTCCTTATAGGGTGAAGTGATCCAAACTAACCTTTTTTTGTTATTGTGTTATGGATGCCTGAAGCGCAGAGATATATTTAGAAGAGCTCTTTGCACCCCCATATCAGTGCCAAACATTGCCTTAATTTCATGATCAAACTTTCCAGATTTCTTCTGGAAGGAATGTCTATGTTGACAGGGCTTTGTCATTTAAAGAACTAGATAAGTAAACAGGCAGCTAAAATCTTTCTTGGCACATGTGGTACCATCCATGGTGAAAGAATCAGACAACACAGTCTGTGGTCCAAGCCTGCCTGTGTGTGATTTGAGTAATAGAGATCTGCTGGTCCATCCTTCATACATGCTTGTCCTGGCCCAGAATTTACAGGGAGGAAAAGATGCCACGTTGGCATCCCTGTTATGTTCCCTCTTGGGTACACCTTGAACTCTTCTGTCCCTCTTTGATTTGGCTGTATTTGACCACCATTTGAAGTCAGGACAACAATTTGGAAGTGTCTGAAGCTTGCTTGTCTCTTTTTCGCTCTAAGGCAGAGTCACTGCTACTAGATTTGTAGTGAACAAGTTCCTCCATTTGGAAGCCAGTTCTGGGATGATTGCCACATAGACTTGAAAGTCACATTTTGATCAGCAGATGCTACTGAGTCTGGGGAGAGACAATGTGGCCTCATCTTCATTTGTATGTGTGTTGGTTTTTCTCCAATGATTCAGCAGTGGTTTCAACATCTTTTATCTTCCACAGTCATTGCTTTATGTGGATGGATGTTTTTTATCCTAGGAAAATAATGATTCATGTATCTGTTAATACGATGATTTTTAAACTTCCTATATTTCTTTTCAGAATTTTGTACCATCTCTGGGCAGGCAGACTTCCCTGACTACACTGGTGATACCCGAAGCTGAGCAAAGTATGGCTTACAAAGACTTTATTTATTTCACTGTCTTTGAAGGAAATGTTCGCAATGTTTCTGAAGTCTCAGTTGAGTATTTATGCTCTCAGCCTTGTGTTGTCAATTTGGAAGCAGTTGTGTCATCTGAGTTCAGAAGTAGCATTCCTGTGTACAAGAAAAGGTGGAAGAATGAGAAACATCTTCACACCAGCAGGACACAAATAGTACATGTGAGATTTCCAAGCATCATGGTTTACAGAGATGATTATTTCATCAGACACTCCATTTCGGTATCCGCGGTGATACTACGCGCCTGGATTACTCACAAATATAGTGGTGGAGACTTGAATGTTAAATGGGAGGAAAATTTGCTTCATGCTGTAGCAAAGAATTATACTCTGCTGAAGACAGTCCCGCCTTTTGAACGTCCTTTCAAAGATCATCAAGTGTGCCTTGAGTGGAACATGGATTATATTTGGAACCTTCGGGCAAACAAGATTCCCCAGTGTCCTCTTGAAAACGGTAGGTCATTTGCCTTCTTAGGAACCTAATGCTTATTGCTTTAGATAGCATGTATTCTAAAAGTGGCAGGTAAAAATTCTAATCTAGCAGTGAGGGAGGCAAGGAAAATGGAGGGACACATTGCACCTATAATTTAGGGGACAATGGGGGAGAAAAATAGAAAGGTGAAGAGAGGAGACAGAGTGGGAGAGACCAGGACTGGAGAGGCAAGTGAGGCAGGGACAAGGGACCTTGAGAGCCTGGATCTGTTTTAAGTTGGAAAGGAGCATTCTTGCCACTGAAACAAGGATTGGTAGACTCTTCCTCCCTCTCTCGCCTCAAAAATCCCTCAAGCGTCGGTTGTTTTTAGCTGGAGTGTTTATCCCAGAGGAAACGGAACCAGAAGGAGCCTCTGTGTCAGACGGGAAGGTAGAAGCCCACAGTGGTTTTCAGCCAAGTGCACCTGGGTTCAGTTCCTGCCTCTGATACTTTCTACCTATGTAACCTTGGAATTCTCAGAACCTCGGATTTTTATCTATAAAATGGGGATAATAAATAACAGTGCCCTTGGAGCAGTGTTGTGAGAATTAAATGAGATGTAATTCATTTAGGACATAACCAGCATTCAGCAAAAAATAGCCATGATGATGGTAGAGTCCAAACTGTGCATTTTGTACCAAATAACGCATGGTCACAACAACCAACAAAGGACTAGTGCAGGAGGCTCCCATGCCCTTTCAGCTTCCCGTAAGCACTGGGGTTGGAGATCTCTGGCTACTCACACTTAGAATAAGGAGTCTGGAGTTCTCTTTGTTGGTATGGGGTGAGGGGACATGTTGCTGTGTGGATGCTGAGTGCTCACCAGCTCTTCTCCCTCTGCTGCAGCGGGGAGCCTGCCTGGGCATGCTCCTGGGCACCCACTCGGAGTCAGGCAGTGCTTCCTAAAGTGTGGTCCTAGGCCCACCTGCAACAGAATCATCCAGGGTTCTTGGTGCAAATGGAAATTCCCAGGGCCCATCCATTACCTACTCAGTCAGGATCTGTGGGGTGCATGGTCCAGGAATCAGCATTTTAAACACATTTGCATGATTCTGATGCACCCCAAAGCTTGAGAACCTCTGGAGGAGGGGCAGAGCTGGTGGAACTTTGGTCTGGAGTTACTATGGCCAGACCCTCAGACAGCCTTAGTAGGTGAAGGAATTTCAGGGGCTGTGACAGCACAATCATTCCACAGGACATAACTGATACCTCCTAGTCTTCAAGACAACTTGTTTGGGACAGGGTGATTTAGGACACAGCAGAAACAATGGCAATGTGTATTTCCTGGGGCCAACCCAAAGCAACCCAGCATATAATTAAAGCTTGAAGGGCCTGGGCAACCGTATGTCCTAGTTGCTCAGAGACCACTTGCCACAGAACCAACATATTTGGCATTTTAAAAAAAAAGCTCTCTTGAAATAATTGTAGATTTTCAGGAAGTTGCAAAACTGGTAGAGTGAGTTCTGTGTCCTGTGTGAGCTTCCTCCGTCTTCCCTTAATGGTGACACCTTCCATAACTGTAGTAGAACATCAAAACCAGGAAATTGATGTTGATCTAATACTGTTAACTAGATTATGGACCTTTTTCAGATTTCACCAGTTTTACATGCACTTGTGTGTGTGCAAGTACAGTTCTATACAATTTTATCCCCATTTTGTTTTAATAGCCCTGCTCTGTGCCTAGCTTATCCCATGTGCAGTGCTTTAAACACAGAGATGTTGGGAGGAAGAAAGCAAATTCCTTTTCTGTGCATGTATGTGTATGGGGTGTAGGGTGGGCAGTGATTAAATGCCTGCAATAGTCAAGCCACATGCGTTTTGATGATCAATGTGCATCCCTCCTGCAGGCAGAAGCCCATGCTAGCATCTTTCTTGAATGCCTTCCACAGGGATACCTAATTTATTAAGGAGAAGGAAGCACGGGGCATATACAGCCAGTTTTGATTTGCCTCTGATTCTGTCAGGGCTTAATGATTCCATTTCATGTTTGGCAAATCACATATTTCTCATTGAAGAACAACTGAATTGCAAGCTGGAAGTTTTCAAATGAAGTCATTTACGAACTGGCTGAGTTCTTAGGGTGTCTGAACATACCCTTAAAATGTGAAACGTCTATTCTTTCTTTTCTTGTTCCTTCCCATATTCACAGGACTTCAGAATAGCACAGTGGGATTTTTCTCCTCACCTTCAAAGCATGACTTTTGGGGTGAGAACCAGTATATAAAAAGCAAAACACAGAGAAAAACCTTTCAAAGAAAGTCACAGAAAATAGGAGGTGCTCCATACACCCTCAAAACCAGCTCATTACAGTTTGCATGGCTGTAATTTGTTCACCAAAAGAGGGGAGCATTTCCTCTCCCTCTGTCTTTAAAAGACAATCAAAAGGGCCCTATGGGAAGTGTCCATGACCTTTTTGCTTGATGTTGGCCGTGCATGGAAGGGGGCCAGGATTCTGGCTGTTCTTAGCAGGGGCTTCTTTATTCAGCTCTTGATGAACAAGAGTCAAGTCAGAACAAGAGGATGGCATTAGGGGGTCTCGGGGTTGCCTTTCATGTCTGGCCCATAGCAGTCTGCAGCCAGCACTGTGGTGGTGCACAGGGAGTGTTTTCTGTGTCCAGTGAGTGCCCTGTGTCCCACGGGGGTTCTGCCTCTGAAGTGAAGTGCCCTTGGATTTGCGTTCATTTTCTTTTCCCGTTATAAAGAGAGAGAGCCCACATCCTAGTGCACCATTGTTCTGCCAAGTACAGCTGGAGTGCCTTGCACCAACAGCTTAGGTGCAGACTCCCAGGAGAGGGCTGTGCGTGCCTGGACACACCGCTGCCGCTTATCTCCTCTGCCAGCACCTGTGCCAGGCCAGGCTGGTGGTCTGATTTCTGATGGAGGTGCAGCAGGCTTTTGTCCAGCCCTGCTGAGTGAACCTATCCTGGATCAAAAGCCAGCAACCTTTCAGGACACGTGTGTGCCCAGGCTCTCGCATGTGCCCTTCTGGGCATGTGGGCCATAGGTGGCTAGGCGCACCGTACCTGTGCCTCCACTTGTCTGTTTCCTTGGGGGAGGGAACCAAACATTCGCTTTTGTCCCTCACCAGTCACACATGTGCCTGATTCATGTCTGAACTGATGGAGAGAAAGAAATCAACACACAGGCTGGGAACTCCAGGCCCATCTGGACTTCTCTTCCTGTCACCTCATGTTATGAGAGGTCAGCTGGTCCTGTCACTTCCATCTTCAGACTATATTGCATATTTAGTCACTCTTAACCATGTGCATCGCTGTCATCCTGGTCTAAGCCACCACTGACCATGTCTGGACTCCAGCCACAGCCTGTAAATGGCCTCCCAGCTTTGCTCTCATCCCCTAGACAGCAGCCAATGCAAGCAGATCACATCACCCGCGCAGGTGGTTAGGAAGGATCCACCCATGTCCCGTCCGTGGCCTGAGGAATCTGTCTCTGTCCCTTCCCTGGCCACATGTGCCATGCTCCCCCTTGCCCACCTGTTCCAGCCACACATGCCTGCTTGCTTCTCCTAACATACCAAGTTCCATCTTGCATTGGGACATCATCTTACTGCTCCTTCCATCTACGTGGCTTGCTGCCTACATTGTTCATTCCTCTGCACAAACATCGTCTCTCTCCCGACCACCTTACCTAACCCAGCAGCCACCCCCTGCTGTCCCCACTGCATGTCTGTCCACCTGTGTTTTGCTTCCGAGCTTCATTGCTGCTGAACATGGTAATGAAATACGTTGAGTGTCTCCATTCTGGAACCTGAGCTCCATAAGGCCAGGGTCCTGGTTTTTTTTGATCTGATGACCAGCACAGTCCCCTGCACACAGAAGGTGTGCAGTGACTATTTGTTGATCAAGTGTTGAGTGCTCGTCGCCAAGGGGCAGGGAGCTCTTTCTCTCTGTGACATCCTCACACAGCTGTGCAGCCACATTAGGGAGCCGGCGGGGGGTCAGGGCAGCTGTGTGCCTTCCCCGGGGCTGGCATGCACTCTGCGGCTTCCCTTCCCAGGTGGAGCCCGCCTGGGCTGTGGTGGTTAAGGTGCAGCCTCCGGGTCAGTGATCCTGCTTCACAACCACACGTGAGCTCACCTTCCCCCTGCCTTTTACTGGGAATAGCTGCCACCCTTGGCTTCCAACCGCCACTATCCAACGCCACCTTCCCTATTTTCCTGGCCAAATCATACCCATTTTTCTGTAGCCAGTTCAACTTTCCATCCTTCCCCCACCCCTGCACTGAAGTTTTTTCTTTTCTTTTTTTTTTTTTTTGATACCTACAATCAGAAATGAACTGTTCACCCTCTGGCTTCCCTTTACCCTCTGTTTGTACTAACCCAGCATGCATACGATGGGTGTCATGTTCAAGTCAATTAAACAGAGATTGGGAGCCTACAATAGCTCCATTTTCCTTTACCAAGCCTGGAAGCTGAAAGATGCAGACATGGTCGCTCTGTCTCGTTAGGTGGTTACGTGGGAGGTAAACACAGCTGCCAATAGTAACAGCCACTTTCTGTTACTGAGCACTCACTATGTGCTAAGTGTTTTGAGTCTAAGGTAAATATGCTCAGTGCTTTACTGTCATAGTTACAGAGGCGGAAACAGACTCAGAGAAGTGGGCACTTGTCTAAAGGTCCTGCAGCTCTTCAGGATGGAGCTGGGATTTGAACCCAGTTTGGTCCCCACACGTCACGCTTCCTTATCAGTCTATGCTTCTGGGTGATACCATGTAGTTATTTATCTGTTTGCTTTAAGTCATTCTTTCATTGAGAAAGGTTGTGGAGTAGTCTGTGTGTTAGGTGCTCTGCTAGGCTTCTTCACAGGGAGGTGACATCTGAAGAGATACTTGAAGGATGAGGAGAGTTTTCATAGTCAGCAAAGGAATGGAGGTAAAAGGGCATCCGGGGTGAAGGGAAAGCATGGACAACAGCGCACAGAGAAAATACAGCGCGACAGGGAAATGGTGACGAGCCTCCGTCCCTTGATATGAAGGACGGCAAATATGTTTCATCTTGCACATCAAGTCAAAGTGCCTGGGGGTGACTCCCCAGAGTATAGTGTTGAGAAAGATTCTGAGGCCGAGTCTGTGCCTAGTGAGAAAGAGTGGCATGTTTGATTGATGACAGCATCTGCCATGGGGCGGGAGTGTGGAGTAGCAGCACTAGTATGTGTTTGCTCCCCCAGGTGGAATCTCAGGTGCAAGGTGCACGATTCAGGAAATAAGACTGGAAGGGCAGGTGGGGGTCCCACTTTGAAGGGTCTTCGATGTCATGCTAGTGATGTATTAAACAATCTTCCCTGCCTGACTCTATGAGCATTTTTCAGATCTTCTCTCTTAGGCCAGAAACTGGGGAGCATGGCAATTTTCTTCTTCTCCCCTCTTTTACTTTCACTAAAAATTCATTCTCATATTCGGATCCAATGGATTGGAAGTGTGATTTCTTATAACAACATTCTATTACAACAAAATAACAGAAGCCTAAGCAAACATTGGGGCCAGACTTTACCCGTGTTTGTGAAAATGTCAGTTTATACTATGCAACTATTCAAATCGATGACATGATAGTACTTTTTGTAATTATAAGAACTATATATTTGGCACTTTCAGGAAAAAAAGACTCTTGGTTCTTTTTTTTTTTGCTCCAGTTAATCGCAGTAGTCTGAATTTTTCAGTAATAACACTAATTAATGCCTAGTATCTGCATTGCTCTTTATGATTTTCAAAACACTTTTTCCATGTAGATTGTCTCACTTAATCCTCATAATAGTCTCACGGGAAAACATATTATTCTCGTCTGCTCTTTACAGAGGAGAAAACTGAGGTTCCGGGAGCTTTTTAACTGGAGTCCATGCTTCCTGATTCTTCAACTTTCTATGCTGCCTCTCTGAAATATGCTAATGCAGCCCTAACCCAGGTTCTAAATTAGAAAGAATACTCTTTTTTTAAGTTGAATTTTTACTGATGTGAATCATCCTGTTTTCCTCACCCACTGGACTTTGTCTCTTTGAAGAAAACTGAACAGCCTCAGAGGCCCAGGGCAGGGAGGCCTGTGGAAGCGGCCAGCTCCTTCTCCCTGCTTGCATGGAAACGCAGAATCTTGTTCCCTTCCTTTTCAGTCAAAAAAATAATACACGTGCTGGTAAAAAACTCAGAGAGTGAAAAGGGTTTGGGGGAAGAGTAAGTTTCCACCCACTGGTCTTCTAGTCCTGAGCGATACTCAGAAACTCAGTAGCACTTACATCTTCTGTCTCCTTCCAGAAATGTTCACTGCACATAAAGCATTAACTTGATAGATCCTTCACTTTATACACTCAGGGGAGGATCCTAAAAATTCTGCCCTATGCTCACAATATAGGAGAGGTTTCCTGTATGGGTACAGACTACTAGGCCTTGTTCTCTTCAATAGCTGCTTAGCATTCCTTTGCCTGACAGGCCATAATTTATTTAACCTGTCTCTTGCTGATGGTCATGCAGTTCATTTCTAGTCTATTATTATGAACAGCAAAGTTTCGCCAAGCATCCGTGTACCTGTATCTTTGGGCACATAAATAATGTAAGTATTTTGGCAGGATAAATTACTGGGAGTGGAAATTATTTTTTTCTTAAGACTCCTATTAGAAAATATTTCACAGCCCCTCATTTCACTGCATCGTATCCTTTTGGAGGGAAGTTCTGACTTAAATCATACTTGCTAGGAAGTAGAATTATTTTTCTCAGGCCATGGCTTTAAGGAAAATAAAATGCCCGGTGACCATTGCCTTCTTAATGCCCTGTGTTTGGAAAGCATGATTGGGTTGCCTGTGCTCCAGCTGACCTCTCCAGGTTGGACAATCTTAGCTTCTTTTCCCCTAGGTTCCGCTTACCGACCTTCAGTCATTCCTTGCTTCAAGACTGTCTCTAACTTCTACACACATGGGCTGAGGATCTTCGCTGCATCATAGTGGTGCATTTGAAGCACATCCTAAGTAGGGTTTTGCTACATGGAAGTAGAACCCTCCCCAGAGCAGCTGTCCCTATTAGAGCTCTGATCACTCTATAATGAATTGGAGAATGGACTACAGAACCCCCCCAGCCATCCTAGTTGTGGGTGATACTCAAAATACTTAACAACCAGCATGAGGTGGGGGCCCGTCAGTCTCCTCAGGTGCCAGCCCTAGTGCTGAAGCAGGGGATGCTGGGAAGCCTGGCTGAGCCAGCCTCTGTCCAAAGCAGAGGCTAGGGTGGGTAGTGGGTAGTTGGTACTGGGGCCTTGGAGGTTCAAGGAAGCATCATTCACCTAACCAACATAGATATATTCCAGCGTCTTAACAACCAGTATGGCTGTGCAGGTTTTGTTGGATACAAAAAATGTTTTTGTAAAATTATTTGGGTCATTGGGTCTTAATGTTTTCCCTCCTGAAGCGAAAAAAGTCAGTCTTTTGCTTCAAGTTCTCCTGCCCTACCTGCTTGACTTTGATCCCTGAATAAGGGAGAGGCTCATCAACATTCCCTTTTAACTCCGTTCACTTTGGATGCCTACTTTATGAAGTCTCCTTCTACTAGAGTCGGGCTGGGCGCAGTCACATCCCACGCATCTGGATAAGTGTTTCCACTGCACACTAGGTAACGCAGCAGTGGTTACGGGCAGAAGGCTCCCAGGGCCCCCCCGGGCCATCTGCACTCTCCTGGTCCATGCAACACCTTGGAAACCAAACCAAGTTGGGATGATATCAACCTCTTAGTGAATTTTTGCCATGATTCCAAAGACACCCTTGCAGTATTTCCATTTCTAATCCCCTTCACCCCCACCCATCCTTATAACAGACCAGTGAGTTCAATTTGCCCAAATTGAGCACAAATTATAACCCGGTGGGGTTTCCAAATGCATCTCTACCTATAATAAAGCAGGTAGATTTGTGAGCTTTGGAGGAAATTTGGCTTATTTAATTCTACTAGCTACAGTCACAGGGGTCTGAGATATGAAAAGTTTGCTCATGATTTTAATGAACGAGAGGTATCATTCTCTATAATAAAACATTTTTCACCATTGAGGAACAACGACTGGGGTGTCCAGTATCCCAGGCTGAGGCCCCCATAATTTGTGCTGTGGCATTTGGTAACTTGCTCAGAATTTAATTCTTCCCTCTCAAGAAGCCCAGGAAAATACATTATTTCCACCATTTAATCATGGATGTTTAAGCCAAGGAGCATTTTAAGGAAGAGAAAAGTAATCTTTATTCTTAGGTTGAGTTCAGTGAATTCATTTTTCTTTGAAGTGGGGCTGGGGTAGATATGGGAAATAAAGAATTTATACTAGACTTGTTTAAAGCAGTATGTGTTAATATAGATGAAATAACTCTGTTCTCCCTTTAAGATTTGTTATGGACACACCTATCTTATCTAGAGCCACCGAAAAGCATTGTCCCACATTTACAAAATAAAGTGGAAGGCTCCCTAGTTTAAAGGGATATGCTTAGTCATTTTTGCATAGGGTAATGTGTTAATGTATGTGGAGAGTCTGCACAGAAGGAAAAAAAAACCCTGTAATTTTAAGAACATGGATTCTGAAACCAAAATACTTGAGTTGGGATCCTCTTACAGTCTAACCCTTTCTAAGGCTCAGTTTTTTCATTTGGTAGATGGGGATAATAATAGAACTCATTTCTAGAGTCTTTATGAAATTAAATGAGATTTTCCCCTGAAATGTGCTTAGCATGTTGCCTTGCATGTTCTGTGATAAATAAATGTTAGTTGCTACTTTGGCAGCTGTGCCTCCATTTTAGCATCTGTAGACTAGGAGTAATAAAGAGGATTAGATTGCCCACATGTATATATTTGTTACACACACATATATATTTGTTACAGCAGCATGGACCATAGTGAGTGCTACTAAAGCCATAACTGCTATTATTATTACACAGATTCAAAATGTTTTCCTTAGCCTTAGAAGGGCAGCACATAAAATGGTTGTGCACGCTGACCCTTAGCTCGACACTTGAAATCTGGCTCTATGACTTATTAGCTCTCCAACCTTAGGCAACTTACTCTACCTCCCTGTGCCTTGGGCTTTTCACCTGTAAAATGGGACCAATAATAAAATGTTCTTTATAGGGTTACTATGAAAATTAATGGAGATTAGCTCTGTAAAGTGCTCAGCAGGTGCTTGGCATGTATTCAGTGCTCAATAAATGTTTGCTGACATTTTCAGAATATTGCATGTAAATGTTTGATTGGATCGAGGCAGAGGGTTCCAGGAAGAATGTGCTTTGGGAAGCAGTGCTTTTCTGGAGATAACTGAAAGGCAGCTGTCTTGCTGTTTGTAGATGTGGTCACCCTCCTGGGCTTTCTCTATGCCTCCAGTGGCGAAAACACGGGCATCGTGAAGAAGTTTGCGAGGTTTCGGAACCGAGAGCTGGAGGCTACGCGACGCCAGCGGATAGATTACCCAGTGTAAGGATGGGCAGGTGATGGGGGCTGGTGGGCGAGTGCTCTTTTTCTCTGAGGACCAGAGCAGGCTAGCGGAGCCCCTTAGGAAGACACACCTTTGTTACACGCTTTGTTGAGATCCACACAACTTAGACAGAATCTGTGCACCTGACAACCTCATAGTATTCCTGAATCATTCTTGCACTTAGCGATCCTTGTTTGCCAAGGGTATTCTATACAGTTTGCCTTGGACTCGCTATGCTGGTCCCAGGAATGCCATGAGCAGTGAACGAGGTGTGGGAGCCCGAGGCCTTACAGGGCTTCAGGGGCAGCCAACCTGTGCCAGCACAGACTGTCTCCTTTGCCTTCCTTTTTCTGTCTTGGAAGATGGGACAGGCTGCTTGAAATTTCACAACTTCTGATCTCCTCCATTAATTTCAGCAAAACCCAGGTATATTTTTTTCCTTCTGCTGAGTTGAAGATGCTGAAAATGGTTCCTGGTTCACCTCAGAATGGATGGATTTAGCAGAGTGATTTCATTCTTCCCATGCTGCTGGCTGTAGAAAGATCTTGAGTCACTTTACTGAGCGTATGTTCTTGCTAAGCTTCCTTGCAATAACTTATCTTCATGAGCTTGCTCAGCTGGGTGGGTCAGGAGGGAGCTGTGTGGCACCATCTGTTTGCGTATCTTACCACCATGGATTTTGAGGCCAAATTATAAAGCCCAGAATGTCCTAAATGACTTGTTTGAGGTAGCCCCAAAGAACTTGGGGCCACTGTCACTTTAACCCACATAAAGAGAATTCTATGCATTTATTTTGACCTTGATTCCTGTTTCAAGTGCAAAAATGCAATCACTGCCCCCCATCCCCCGCCAGCTCCCCATCTTTGTACTGCTGGTCAGTAGCACCATGTGGGCATCAGGCAAGTGTTCAGCAAATATTTGCTGAGTGATTGAAGGATCATGTATCTTGGCCAAATGTGTCCTAGTTGACTACTGCTATTTTATTCTTACTCCACAAATCACAGATGTACAATATATATTTTTTCAACTAAAATAGCCCCAGTCCAGAAATGGAACAATTAGATTAGTTGTTCCATATTGGTCAGCCAGAACTGTGACACTGAACAACCTGAATGTGCATGGAAATAGTATCTATGTGTTCCAATTAGCATATAGGGATGCCATTTGCCAATTATGACATTTTTCTACCTTAGAACTTTTATCTTTGAAAGAAACAAAATTACTCAAAAAGCCCTAATTATGTTTTTTCTTTTAATCATTGAAACTAGAATATCTTCTTATCAAATCGTCTCTTAATTAAAATCCAGATTTTTATTCTGTGTCTGGCTTCATAAACCTTAAGAGTTCAAATGGTGGGTGTGTGAGATTCTCAAAGAGGCACAGAAACAGTTTTTGGTGCGAGGTACAGTGGCTGCTAGATTTGTACAAGGATGCTTAACTCCTGTCTTTTGCAGTTACTATAACTACATCCTTTGTCTCAAAAAATCAAGCTTTGCAAGCTGATCTCCCATGATGAAGGCAAATTCATCCCTTCATTGGAAAGAAAGCAATTTGCTTGCTCATTGTTAACTATAATTACCTGTTCTTGAATGATATCAATCTGCAGAATTTTTTTCTCTTCACTCTTATAGGTTTACTGTTTCATTGTGGCTTTATTTACTCCATTATTGCAAGGCCAGTCTCTGTGGGATTCTGTATTTTGTCGATTCTAATGAGATGTACGGCACACCTTCTGTATTTCTTACTAAAGAGGGTAAGTATAAAACAGAACCTTTAAAATGATGTTGTAATTTTTTTACTCTGTCTACTGGTAGATACATCTGTCTAGAATAAGGAAGATATTGTCAATGTGGCAGCAGTGAGAGTGATAGCTTTCAAATGTGGGCTTCAAATTACCTTTTCTTTCTGGAAGCTTGACTAATGTCTTCTTTACAAAGGAATGCATTTATATGTTCTTTTGTTTGGCTTTGTTTAAAAGTAGAAAGACTGTGATCTAATCTTGTAGCTTCTTAAGACGACTGTTGAAAAGGTATAGCCCCTTCATTCATTCCTAAGTATTTTGTCATTTTCATGAGCTTTAATTTTCCTTTTAGGCCACTTGCATATTCAAATGCACCTTGTCAAAGGAGAAGACCTTGCTGTAAAAACTAAATTCACCATGCCTTTGAAGGAGTGGTTTCGACTGGATATCTCTTTTAATGGAGGCCAGGTATCTGGATACAGACTCCACCAGGAATCCTATCAGCATCACCACTTAACATTAAGCATTGCTATAAAGTCAGGGAGCAAGAAAATCTGCAAAAACAAATTTTGTAGCAAATGATGAGCTCTTTACAACTATACACTTTTTCAATCAAACTTTTATAGTTGGAAGTTTAAATCATATGAATCCCATCCCATTTAATTAACTTTTAAAGTGCTTTCTTCAACCATATTGTGAATGAGTAAATAATATAGCCGGTTATATACCTCAGTATATGAGCAATTCAGTCCTCTTCCCCAAGGGAGATAGGCTCTGTAGAGATAAATGTTAAAACAGCACCGACCATGTTTATATAGTGTTATCAGAGCTACAACTTTTTTTTTATAGGAAATTTATTTGGTTAGTTCAGCTGAGAAATAATTTGACTGTTTTTGGCAGTTGAAACAATTGCTTATGTTTGACATTAAACAGACAAATAATGCCAACATCCTAAATTATAATATCAGTGGGACAGAGGGTCTTTATCTACTCTGTACTATAAGACACTGCACGTAAGTGTTTTTATAAGACAGGCTCTCGTAACACAGACTTTATGGATTATGGTAAATCTGTTGTTATATTTGAGGACAATCCCATTTCTCAATATACACAATGCCAGTATGCTACTTTTTTTCCTGGTTACTTTACTTCCTCATCAGCTTTTCTTATTGATTTGTGACTTTCTAGTAACAACACTAGAAGAGACATTTTGTTTGTCTTGTGTTGTTAGATAATATGCAGACTTCCCTCCATGTTTGGGTTTATCACATTTCCTTTTTCTGAAGAGAAAAGAAATCAGGTCAGGCCTTGTAGCTTTCCTGAGAAGAGTCTGTAACATGTTAGCTGGGATTTTTTTTGTGTTTGTTTCCTTGATGATGTTATTAAGGTGACATAAGGTGGCATAGCTGTGGTCCCAGAGTTTTAGTTCCCCGTTTACATGAGGATTGTGATGGCATACCTGGGTTGCTGCTTTCTCCCAAGGAGAAGGTCAGCTCATTATGTGTCACTTAGGTGTCAAATTGTCAGCACAAATCATAGATCTTATTTTGCACCTGCTGTATGCAAAGCAGTATGCTCAAGGAGCTTTTAGGCTATTTATGGAAGTACCATTAGGCAGGTAAAGGGATGTCATAAGGTGAGCTTAATTGCCAAATGATTCATACTGATTCAGAGACGAGAGACAGCCCTTCATGCTGGGATGCTCAGAGAGGGCTTCATAGAGAAGGTTCATACAAGTTGGGCAGAATTAAGATGAGGATGAGAGGAGGGGTCATTTTAAAACATCACTGGGGGTTAGCAGATAAACCAGTTGGGAGCAGAAATTTGCAGACTATAGAAAATGAATAGAAGCAAAAAATGTCCTTCGGGCTAGAATGTAGAGAATCTTGAATATCAGGGAATTTGTGTGTCTACTTGCAAGGCAGCGAGGTGTCATGGAAGACTTGAGCAGAAGAAATCAGAGTAGTCCTTTAATTAAAGTGATGAATCTAATGGCAGAGTCCACGATGGGGTAAAGCAGGAGAGAAGAGTTAGGAACACTCTCTGGGTTGGAAAGAAAAAAGTAGTTTTGTATTTTAGTAGACTTTTGCCATTTGTCCTTCTTTCTTGCCATCCTACCTGGTTTCCCTAGTATATGTAGGTCCCAAAACAATAGTGATGGTTGCTTTTCTATACAAAATCCACCTCTGTGGTGGTGAACAAGGGGCTTAAAGTAAATGGTTGACTAGCCCATTTTATGAGTAATTTATGCCTAGAACTGTATTTATGATGTGGGGTGTGGAGTCATAACTGATCCTTGCCTATCTCTCCCAACATAGATAGTAGTAACCATCACCATTGAACAGGATTTGAAAAGCCACCATAATCAGACCATTAGGTAAGTGCAAATTTTCTTTTTTTATTCAAAAATTTGCTGGATGAGGTTTAAGGAATCCTCACACGCAAATGTTATTCCCCACCTCCTTATGCAACTTGCCCAAGTGTGGAATGTGGCCAATCTGCTCTGCTAGTCTTTTTTTGTTTGTAATTTTTAAGTTAAAATTTTTTTTCATGGATATGTTTATTTATATTTTCTAAATTGAAACATAGCGGATAGAGAATATTCTATTGGTTTCAGGCCTACAATGTAGTGAGTTGACAATTATACGCATTACTGACTGCTTACCACCATAAGCAGTCTATTAACATACAAAGATATTGCAATATTATTGACTGTATTTCTTGTGCTGTACATTCATCCCCGTGACTAATTTATTTCATAATTGGAAGTTGGAGGCTCTTTATCCTCTCCACCTTTTTTGCCTGTCCCTCTAGCCTCCTCCACTATGGTAAACACCAGTCTGTTTTCTGTGTTTATGAGTCTATTTCTGTTGTGTTTGTTTATTCATTTGTTTTGTTTTGTTTTTTAATATCCACAAACTCTCTGTTCCCCCCACAACTGTTTTCTCTAAGCAAGAGAAACTACTTCTCTTTCCAGATTTCATTGTAAATTCTTCCTTTCATGGCACTTTATAATTCATTTTTTTTGAAAATTATCTTCTACAGAGGTGTCTGAAAAATAAATCAAGGTATTAATGCTGCTTATTGAGAATGGTTGGTAACTTTGGCCGTGTATAAAACATAAAAGCAGACAGTGTTCATATTTATATTTATAATCTAAATTTGAAGCGTGTACCACTATTGATATTGGTGTAACTTTTCATCCTTATGTAACCATTCTCCACAAGAGTTACAGAAATTGAGAATTGGGTCCCTTGCCTTGTATTTCATAATTTTTTAATTTGCTTCTATATCCCTGTGTGATGGTGGGTTTTGTTGTGGCAAAACTATGGGGTAGCCTTTTTCAGGAACTCAGGATACCTCAACATAGCTAGATAATATACATATAATCAAATATTTTAGAATAAGTATAAAGAACAGAAACAAAAATTACAGCTTTCTGTGTATAATTTATATATCTATGAATAATAGATACATACCATCTTTGTATGTATAATATAAAAAATGTATCAGGCCCTTTGGCTGGGGGAGGGGAGGCTCATTCTCTATCTTTTTGTCGTTTCACTACACCAAGCAGAAAGCTGTCTCTCCAAACAGCTTCCATGCACTCAGAATCCCCACACAATCCAAATTTCCTGGAAACCAATTATTTAATAAAGAAAACAAAGAGGGATGGAGACAGGAGAATAGAGAGGCATACACTTTCCTTCCCCTACCCCATCAATCATTCTTGTTTACATTTAGGTCAAACTGATTTTTTTCAGGCTCTGGGCACATAGAACAATTCTTAATTTCATGGCCAGATTAAAGGATTAGAGTTATATGGGAGGCTTGAGAATGTTATTCCTTAGCCTGCAAAAAGAAGGTAAGGATGACTTGAGATCTATATTGAAGCATGGAGGCTGAAGCCTAAGAACGGAGCAGAAGTCTTAAAGGCCTCCAAGTGGATTTAGACTGGTCAGAAAGTTCAACAGATATGAATTTTGTTATATAACAGGTGACCACAGGCTCTTTTCTGGGGTGTTCAAGAACAGGAAAAGCCTGGGTGTTCACTTTGGACAAGCAGATGCTGTGTGGCTCCTTTGGAAATCCCTTCTGGCGGCCTGATCTGGGAAGCAGACCCCAGAAATGAAGGGTTCAAGCATTTTGGAATGTGAAGTCTAAGCAATACCTTTTTCTTTCTACCCTGACACCTACCTCCAACCCATGACATTTTTGACAACCAGGAATTTCCTAGACTCTTTTTCATAGTCTTTGGAAGGTTTTCCTTTCTTAAATCCCAGAAACTGAGATGCTAACAGGAGTGAGTCCTAGACGGAGAGATCACAATACGATCCAGGGCTGGAACTGGCATGAGGGGAGAGAGGCACATGCCTTCCACATAAAATTCAGGAAGTGTCAAAAAAACTCAGTAATTGTATTTGTTTGCTAGGATTGCCAGAACAAATACCACAAACAGAATGGCTTAAATGTCAGGAATGTATTGCCTCACAGTTCCAGAGGCTGGTGGCCGAAGGTCAAGGTCAAGGTGTCAGCAGGGCCGAGTTCTCTCTGAAGCCTCTAGGGAAGGATCTGTTCTAGGCATCTCAGCCTCTCTCCAGCTTCTGATAGTTCCTTGTGTCATGCAGCATGCCTCCAATCTTTACAGGGCATTGTCCTGGGGTATGTGTATGTGCATCTGCATCCAAATTTCCCCTTAGTACAAGGTCATATTGGATTAAGGGCTCCACCACCATGCTAGTAGGCCTCCTGTGAACTAATTACATCTGCAGTGACTCTATTTCCACATATGGTCACATTTCAAGGGACTGGGAGTCCAGACTTCAACATAGGAATTTTGAGTGAAACGCAGTTCAAATTATAACAGTAATCATGATTAATAACATTTAATACAATATTTTTAAAAATCAAAATTAATGTAAAGAATCAATGATGAACAAAACATCACAATTTTAAGTAAGTACAGAATCAGTGTAATTGTATAGGATCCCAGAGATGAGGACTGATTTTCAGGCACATGTTCATTCAGCATCCCACTGAAAGCATTGAAATGATTCCCTACCCCATAGTACTGGCAGTCCTGAGACCCAGCAGTGCCCCCCCAATACCACCTCAGCTGCTCTTCCTGTATTCCTGGGAACTCACCCATCAATAAGAGTACTAAGATTTAATGCCAGGCCTAGGGATAAGATATTTGGAATCTCATCCATCAGAGATTTCAGAGTGGCCCAGCCAATGAACTAAACACCAAATATTTCAGAAGTTGTATTATAACAGTGATAAAAAAAAATTACAATCTGGTACCATAGGGACCGAATAATTCATTTATTCATTATTCATTTATTCAGTTAAAGCAAAGACCCATTAAAAAAAAAAGATGCTGTAAACATTTATTCTAATTAAAAAAAAATACGTATGTACATTCATTTGCCAATCTTTCCAGATAGGACTTTTTCTTCGATTAGAAATCTGAGGGATTCCTGGTGGTCTTTTGTACATATATGGTACCCAAGTTCTGTTTCTTCCAAATGAAAACAAAGACACTTGTGTAACTGTCAGAGCCCAAAATCCAATTTCAATTTCTTTTCCCAAAAGTTTTCAGTTGTCCTGATTGCATGACAGTTTTTTAAGTCACCTTCTTGATAGTCTACCCCAAATACTCAATGTAATTTTTACAAAATAAGAAACTCTTTATTCCCCATCCATATTTTATTGAATAACATTTAATTAAATCGTATGATTACAATGCTCATACAATTGGCATGAACACATCTGGGAACAAACACATCTTCCTCTTACTAAGTATGCAACTCAAGAGATGGCAGCCAACAGTCCAACAGTGGATTAGGTAAATAATAATTATAACCATAGTTAACAGTTATGGTGCTTACTATGTGTCAGACACTGTTCTAAATGCTTTGTTAAATATTAGTTCATTTTACCCTTGCAATGACCAAGTAGGTAGGTACTGTTATTATCTTCATTTAAAAAATGAGAAGACTAATGCTCCCAAGAGTAGCCTCCAGCCACTGGGGATCCAGCCTGCCGTAGGGATTGGCTAGCAGGTGAGTTGGTAAGTTGGGTAAGAAAGTTCCATCAAGAGGGGTTCTATGCAGAAGCATTGCTTCATAGCCACCAAGTGCCAGGTACTGTGTCCTGAGCATGGTTGCAGTGTTCATGTCTTCCTAAAGTCTTGAAAAATAGAATCACTTCACAGCCCTTAGACATAGTAACTTTGTGGCTCCACCTGACAAAATGGGAAGAGACCATTATCATCTTCTCATGGCCTTTCCAGCTTGAGATTCTGGAAAGAAAAATATTAGCTGACGAAGCACTTCTTTTCCATTTCTGTGGCTTCCATACAAAGCTGATTTCTGAGTGCTCACTTTGGCTGCATCAGCTGGTGTTATCAAAGAGTTTTTTTTCCTTTACCCTTTTGTCTTCCTCTCAGCCAGGGGCCCCTGCTCAGGGCTGGGTTTCTTGCTAACAGTCAGTGTGTCTCCTCTCCCAGGATAACCCCAAGTCCCATGGCTTCTCTGCCCTAGCTGCTGGTAGCTTGCTCGGTCCCCGGTGGCGTCACCCTGGCCCGTTGCTCTCGCAGCTTGCTGAGTTCCTGGCGGCCTGCCTGACATTCTGTTTTCTTTCCTTTGCTTCCATCTGCCCTCACGCTCCCTGGCTCTCTCCTCTTTGCCTGGCTTCTCACTTGATGTTTGTCTTGACCCCCAACCCCTTGCTGTTCACATATGTTCTGATTGCACCTTGTTTACCCATTCCTATTTTAATTTTTAGATAGGTAATAAAATGCACATGGTTTAAAAAAATCCAAACCATATGAAAAGCTGTATAGTTAGATGTCTTGCTTCTAGCTCTGCCTCCATCCACTCTATCCCCTACCCACCCTTCCATGGAGAAATATTTGTATTAGTATCTTGGTTATACTTTCAGAGGTTTTTTTAAATGCAAATTCCAAAAAAATCCATTCTCCTTTTTGTTGGATAAAAAGTATACTCTTTGAAGACAAGTAGTGAGTCTGTGGCATCTTACTACACTGATGGACAGTGACTTAAACGGGGTGTGGAGGGTACTTGATAATATGGGTGAATGTAGTAACCACATTTTTTTTCATGTGAAACCTTCATAAGAGTGTATATCAATGATACCTTAATAAAAATAAAAAGTATACTCTTTGTTCTGCACCTTGTTATTATTTTCAGTTAACAGGGTGTTTTAGACAGAGTCCTTTGTCCCTTTTTTTAAAGCTGTAGAGTTAAAAAGCTCAGGTCCAGGGTCCCTTGGATGGATGTGGGCCAGTCCTGATAGACACCTGGGGTTCTTTTTGTGAATATAAACAATGCTGCAAGTAAAAACTTTGTGCATTTTATTCATGCCGGCCCATTTTTTCCCTCCCTTTTCCTTTCTGATCCTTCAAGTCTTTCAGGATGAAATGGACTTGAAGCACATTATTTGTGCTGATTTCTGGTCTTTGGCCAAACCCTTTGACCATGCTGTGGCCGCCTCCTCCTAACTCATGTTTACCTCAGTCCTTATCTAATAGGATATGTTGCTCATTTTCCTCCACAGCTGCCTTCAATTCATTCAATAAGATTTTTTTTCCCTTTTTTTGAGCAAAGTATTTCCAATTAAAGTCAGCAGTTCCAAATAATTCCAATGATTCCAAACACTCTTACCAGTACCAATAGCTGCTGGTATGTATTAAGTATTTACATTGCCCAGGCACTCAGCTGGATGCTACACACCTTTGAATTTCACTTAATCTTTTTAGCAATTCAGTAAGTAAGGAACTAATTTACTAATGTGAAACTCAGTCTCAGAGAGGTTAGGAGACTGATCCAAAGTCACACTGCTAGTAAACAGCAGAGTTGCAATCCTAGCCCAAGTCTGCTTGACCGCACTGTGGTCCCGGGCTAGAACTCAGAGTAAAGGGCTTGGGGAAACCTGGGATTTTAAATCAAGGAGGATCGATGAAAGCATCTCTTTTTAAAAAATTTGGCTCAAACTCAGAACTCCTTTGTTCTTCTCTAGCTTCCGGGAAGATTTCCATTATAATGACACGGCTGGATACTTCATTATTGGCGGGAGCAGGTATGTGACTGGCATTGAAGGATTTTTTGGACCCCTGAAGTACTATCGCCTCCACACTGTACACCCGGAACAGGTGAGCCTAGGGGATCAAGGAGACATTTCAGATACTCATGGGTGATGGGCATGTGACTCCGGCTTGGAACCCGGGGTAAATGACAGACTTATCCAGGCTGGACCTTACATCGGCTCGGTCATCCAACATAATTAATATTGAGGCTTTCCTCCAGCAAAGACGATAATAGATTTCTGTTAATGTTTGGTTCATTTAAGACGCATAAAATGGAAACCATTTGCTTCCTCTGTTTTAATAACTACTAGCTTAATTATAGAGTAGATTTTTATCAGGCTGTTGCCTATCCAGTGATTAAGCTAATGGAAGGAGAAAATCTTAGTTATTTGGTAAACCTTCTTTTATATGCTATTATTTAAAGTATCAGAAGAGGTGAGGCTCGAGCAGATTAAAATCTTGGTTCCTTTCACTGCTCTCTTCAGAAGGGAGGCTCACACTGGCGTGGTTTGGCTGCATTGTCGAGATCGCAGAGGGCTTTGGATTCAGAACAGAATCTACTACATAGTGACTCACATCTAAAACCCACCCACAGATGGGATTGTCCAGCTCCCCAGGCCGGCTCAAGCAGGGCTGGTATCGGGAGAGGAGGGCTTTCCTACAAGGGGCCTGCATAGCCGTTGTTTCTTCTGCCTTGGTACAGAGCTCACCAGACAAATGAACAAGGAACATTCTTACATTCCTGTGACTGCACTGGTTTGTTCTGGGAAAAGCAGGAGTCACTAGGAAGTAAATCAGAAAAATGTCCTACCACCCATGGGAGCATCTTTAAGCCCCTATTGAGAGACCTGTATGAAGAGGGAAAGAATGAAATTAATTTATTCATTTGTGCAGTAGATACTGTGTTCCTACTCTGTGCCAGGCTAGGTGTTGAGGTGTTCAAGATGAACTAAGATAGTAGCTTTCAAATTTTTTTGAAGGTGGTTCACAATAAGGAATCTATTTCATATCATGAACAGTAAATATATATACATACACACAATACATACATACACACAAACACATATGTATACATACAAATACAAATACATATATATGTAAAGCACAAAACCAAAACAAAAATTTACTAAGACTGTATACTCTTGCTACATTAACTGTCCTCTCATACTTTGTGTTCTACTTTGTAAAAAAAAAAAAAAAGTAACTGCTGGTTACAACCCACTGAAATCATTTCATGAGTCTCCAATGGGTCACGTGTTTTGAAAACCACTGAGTTGAGATAAGGTCTTTGTTCTTGAGGGGCTCCCTGTCTGGCTCTTAATCACATTAAGTTATGAAAGACTACAGTACATGCTTTACTTCAGACTTTAATTCAGACGTGAGCCCAGTGTTTGGGAGCCCTGAGGTAGGAACATTCGCACAGACACATTTGTGAAGGTGGGCTGCTAGAGAAGCCGCCCTGAAGCAGTGACCATGGATCTGGCTCCTGGGGTTGAGGAGGAGACTGCCAAGCAGGAGAAAATGGGAGGCGGTCCCCCAGGCAGCAGCCCAGCACAGGGAGACAGGGCTTCCCTTGGGAATAGAAGAGGCAATGAATGTGAATTTCTAAGGGCAGTGTAGGTGCAGAGAGACGAGGTGGAAGCCTGGTCTCTGGGAAATCTTGATATTTAGGAAGCTCTGCAGAGGAGATGATGCTACAGAAAGAAGCGAGAGGGAAGCGGCCAGAGCTGGTGTGTCCTTGAATTAAGCCCTCCCTTTGTGAATCCGGAGTGGGTGATCGGGGTGCAAACAAGCCATCTGGTGATAGCAATGAGTGAAGGAAGTCAAGCCGGACGCAGCCTCATAGGTATCAATGGGTGTTTGATGATGATTTTTGTTCATTCGATTTTCTTAACTTCTTGCAGATTTTTAATCCCCTCCTTGAGAAGCAACTTGCCGAGCAAATCAAGTTATATTATGATAGGTGTGCTGAGGTTCAAGAAATACTGTCTGTGTACACATCCAGGGTCGAGCAGGACAGCGGGAGGCAAGAAGCATGTGAGTATCCAGCTTCGGGAGAGCACCGTGTAGCTCTGTGCATTTGTGTCAATACATGTTTGCCTTCTCTGTCTAATGGGGTTAAAACAGAACATATGTAACTTGACCAGTGGGGACAAATATGATCTTGATCCCTTCACAGATCCCTTCACAGATGCGAGTGAAAGCGCAGATTCCGTCTGGGGTCCAGCAAGACCAACCACCAAGAACCCAAACTTTCCTCAGAGCTTCAACCACACGTGATTTAGCTTAAGAATACAAATGAGTGTTGTGAGCCTCAAATTACATTATTCCCATCTGCAAGGGGAACCTAGGCCAGGCTAAGAAAATGAGAATGAATTGGAAAATAAATTAATCATTAGGAATGTTTCCCCATCGGTGCACTGTTGTTGTGGGCCATTCATATCTGAATATTAGCTTTCAGAAATGTTGAACAATGACTTTGTTGTTTAGGGCTCCGTTTTATTTTTTAAATCCTTGAAATTGATTCATTCTGGGAGACCTTAGTAATTTTCAACAGAAGGAATGAATTTCAAATCGACTACTTTCATGCCAGCTTCTGTCTGCGCTGACATCCTTTCACCCATACAGGGAGGGTGTTGACGGTTCTAAAAGTTGGTCCTGTCTTGTCTTCTGCTGTTCCAGCTTGGATCTAGCACTTACAATGTCTCTGTGCTGTAGATCTTCTTGCTTCATATCATGGCACTAGAGTGAGTCACATATGTTCCTTCTGGAAGAGACATTCCTCAGGGCCTTTGCCATCAGCACAAGAGAGTCGAGAATTTCAGTCTTGCCCACATATCTCACCATCTCCAGAGCTGAATTTCTCATTCTAGGCTGTGGAGGGATGGACACATAGTGAACCCAGTCCAGTAGGGTTCCCACAAAACAGTCTCAGGAAGTGTTTAGAGGTGGTGATAGGTAAGGGTGGAAAGGCAGGATTTCTGCAATTTAATTTAAGAATAGGCTATACTGGTCCCCAGCTGCTGCTTTCACTGCTGAATCATCCAGAAAATACGATGCTGTCAGAAGTGGGTGGGGGAAGATATATAGGAATAGTAATATCCCAAGCAGGAAAGAAACTGATTTTGATAACTAATATAATTTCAGGAGAGATACCCTGACCTGGAAGGCCAGCCTTGCTGATCTGTTTGGTGGCACTGGGAAGATTTTCCTGACACCTACTGCCTTGCCTCCCTGGGGGTCCTTGCGCTTTGCTCCTCAACTCACACTGCCAACAAAATGGCCTAGATATTGGCCTCCTGGGGACCAGCCCGAGGCCAGCTGCTCTTTCTGTAGAATTATTCAACAGCCATCAGCAACTTTGGCACATTTCCCTGGGCCTTGGCTTTGAATTTGTGACCCAGAGGCAAAGGCATGGGAGCCAATTTCAAATCCCTGATGCACCCAAATCAACAGACAGTAACATTAGGTCGGACCTCTTATTTCTGTAAGGGAGTTCCTGTAAGGAAGCCATGATTTAGAATGGGGAGACTTTTCCTCTCCTAAAGTGGGGTCGTATCTTATGCCTCCCCGTGCTGCAGGTGAGCTGCGGAACTCCTACCTGGACCTGAAGCACAGGTACGAGAGCCTCTCCACTTGCAGAGCCCTCCCCTGGGAGAAGGAGCTGAGAGACCAGCACCCCAGCTTGTTCCAGGCCCTGCTGGAGATGCATTTGTTGACAGGTAATTGTGCCTTGGCCTCATCTTGGATGAGGCCATTTCTCTGTAGTTCCCTTGTCCTCTTAGATGATTTATGCCCCAAGGTTATTTTTAACCCTAGTGTTCTAGCTTCCCTTCAGATTCAAATTCTGCCCTTCTACGTCCACAAAGCTCAGGATGTCTCTGCATATTTTCAGCACTAAATACAAAAACTTAAATTCATAAACCGCTCAAGCAATGCCTTATTTAAAACCAAGGCCATAAACAATGGCTGGCAGCCAGAGCTGGCCACCAGATGTGATGGGTTTGGCACATTCAGTATTGTCAGTTAAAAAAATAATCAGTTATCAGTACCTAAAAGCTTGTATAAAAAAGCAAATTTTTATCTTTTCTTGAACAATCCAAAGATCTGGCAACGCTGGGCCTCCCACATGGCAGCACCCTGGAGGTGAGTGGTTGGCACAAGGAGTGAAAGGGATAGAGGGGATGAAAGGAAAAGAGGGGAGAGATGAAAGAAGAGAGGGGATGTGAACTCAACAGTCCAAGTAGGTTTACTGCTGAACCTGAGAGGGACCCCCCTGTCCTGGCCTGCAGAACAAAGGAAGAGAGTCGGGAACAGGTTAAGAGGCGTTTTATGGCCAGGGTTTTCCGTGGGATCTTTGAGGGGAGGGGTCAGAGGAAAGGTGGGCTTGTGGCTTGCTGACGTGTCCTTTGGAGGATGCTTGTAGCCCAGGTGAGATGACACCTAGGTCTCTCTGTGATGGTGGGTGGGCTCATCCGAAAGGTGGTCCTCAGGTCCGGATTCTGTCAGGGACGTCTGTCCATCCACAGCCTCTGCCCTCTATTTCAGTGCCTCCTCCCTAATTCATGGATCCTACCTGTGTGGGCCCGTAGGCACTTGAACTTGGGACCTCTGATTTGAAGTAAACTTTAAGCAGCATCCCAGAATCTGTGTGTACTACCCAAAGTGGCCAGCTTCTCCTTTGGCTCATTGTGATTTGGGTTTGTTTAGGTAATTAAGTACACACTGTAGGGTCACAAGGAATCTTAAAACCATGTCCATTAGGAAAAGGACAGAAGCTAGGGTAAGGGGATGCTGAGGGGGTGGTGGTAACCATCTTAGTGGTTAGGGGGCGACCCATGTGTTCCTAGTCAAGGCAATGGAGAAACCCGCCTCTGCTTCATGCAAGAACTTCCTAAGAATGGCAGTGTCCAACAGAATAGATTCTCTTTGCAAATAGTGACCTTCCCCACCCCCATCATGAAAGAATGCAAGCTGTACAGGATATTTCATCTTTGTTCATTTGATCCTTACTGAGTTTCTCAGTTTCTTGGCTAGACTTTACAGATAAGGAAAATAACACAAAGTCCCTGCCCTTGAGGGGTAGACTTGAAGGCAAGGGAAAATGGTAATGCATTTTTAATAAAAGCTGTGGGAATATATGGTGGGGGCACAAAGAAGGGAGTGGTCAATTGTACCAGGAGGCTGTGGTGTTCCGGGAAGGCTTCCTAGAGGAGGTGACACTACGCTTTATACTTGAAGTGTTAGTAGGTGTTTGCCAGATAACCAACGTGGAGATGGGCATTGCAGACAGAGTAGGGCCAGAGTGGTGGAAATAGCACAGCATTTTTAATGATGTGCCAGGGTTTGGGGAGGCAGGAGAAGGCCTGGAGAGTGATAATTCCCAGTGGAGCTCAGATACCATCCTGAAGAGTGTGGGCTTTAGCTTGTAGGTAACAGGGACCGGTTGAAGGGTTTCAAGCAGGGCACAGAGGCATGACCAGATTGGGGTTTTTGAGATGGCTCTGGCAGCAGTGGGAGGGTGGTAGAGGTAAACTAACACGTGTGTGGAGTTGGAAGCAGGAGTCCATTGCTATGGTCTAGGAGGAGAGGATGCAGGCCCTTCTGGTGCCAAGTCTGCTTAGGTGTCAGAGATGGAGCTAAAGGATGTAAGAGGCTGGCTCTGAAGGACTCTGTGACTGCTCAGATTCAAGCAAGGAGGACGAGGAGCATGAAGGCTCTGTGGAGTCATGTGGCAGCACAGCCTCTAGAGCCAGGTGGCCTGCTTCTGATTTAACTTAGCATCTACCAGCTTGTGATCCTGGGCAAGCTACTTCATTTCTCTGAGCCTTAGTTTTCTCATCTGCAAAGTGGATCTCATCTGCAAAACCTCTCTCCTAGTGTCGGACTAAATCAATTGATACTTAGAACAGTACCAGCATGTAGTGAGCTCTGTGTAAGCCACGTTTCTCAAGTGCAGCCCTACTGACATTTTGAATAGGAGAATTCTCTGTTGTACGGTCTTTCCTGTGCATTGTGTATGTTTAGTTGCGTATCTGATGTCTGCAACTAGATACACCACCTCCCCTCCCACCACTGCCCTCTTGAGTTGGGACAACAAGAAATGTCTTCAGTCATTGCCAAATGTCCCCAGGGAGACCAGGTCTCCCCCAGCTGAGACTCACTACTCAGTCAGTGCTGCAGCTATCACCACCAGGACAAGACAATTCCCAGGTTTCCGTCGGTCACCTGGGAGGTGGTAGAGCAACCCACCCAGACAGGAGATGCACGTTGAACAATTTAGGTTAAATGGATTGAGACCACATACACATGAAAACTGTTTCTATGAGGTTTCTGATATTTAAATATATTTTGTTGATTGGGAATAGGAGTGAGTCATTTTCATAAGACATTCTTTTTTAAGTAAATACTCCCAATAAGAAAGAATGCTTTCATGTCATTTTCACAACTCAGAAGTTCTGTGTATAAGAATTCAGAATTATTTTACTCTCTGTGGAGGCCTGGAAATGGAATCTAATTAAAAACCCCCATCATGAGCCCCTGAATCTCAAGACTTCCTGGGCTGTGGCACCATGCGACGCTACATTGCGGCGCAGCAGCACGTTCTGCTGACCTGTTAGGCTTCTGGGATCCCATCCACGGTGGAAAAGGGGTGGATCCCATCCACCCCTGAAGCCAGACTTGCCCCTTTAGGACCCACTGGTGGTGCCAAACTAGCCAGTCGAGCCCTTCTGGTGCCAAGTCTGCTTAGAACATTGCCAAGGAGCTTACCCCGAGAAGCTATCCCTACCACCATGGCATCTGCCTCCCTTGGGCATACAGCCACCTCCCCTCCCTGCCATTTCCTGGGGCCTAGGAGCAGGCAGGGAGGGGAGCCGGGGAGGCAAATCTCCAGAGCCAACCTTAAGTTCCCATCTGCCTTTAGCCCTTAGTTTTCTAGGTTACATTGCCCCGTTAAGGACTGGGGAGTCTCTGCAGAGGTAGGGCATACATTCCTCATTAAATTCATCTCTCTGCCTGGCACACTGCCCTTGTTTGAGGCTGTCATATCCTTCCACTAACCCCGGAGAAAGGGTGGTGTTGCACATTGTGCCCAGTGTCTAATAAGGCTGAGAGAAAGCAGAAAACATTTGATTTCATAAATCGGGGATAAAGAAAACAAGTTTACATTTTTAACATATCCTTTACCCTGGTCTCCTATAAAAAGAATAATAGTAAGACCTACGTGTCTATATGTCTATTCCTGCTTCCTCACATATCGTTCCTTTCGAGTTCACCTTGCTTTGGTGTTTAGTTGGCTTTGGAGTGTTCAGACAACTCTAGTTAATAGGCACCATGTTTGTGTTATGTTTTCAGCTGCTGTCCCAAGCTGTTCGGTCCTGTTGACGAGTAGACTTTATTAGAACATTGTCATCGTATTACATTTTTTATATCTGAGATCAACTATGAGAACAGATTCAAGTATCAAATGTTTGATGCTTAGAATTCTGGCTTCAGGAACTGAATAGGTGCAGTAACAAAGATAAGGAACTTACCTGTGTGAGTAACTCCTTATATTGCTCATTCCACAACCTTCCTCTCATTCATTCACTCCATGAGTATTTACTCAGTGCCTGCTCTGAGCCAGCTTAGGACAAAAATGGGACCGTGTTTAGAAAGAGAGTCATTTAGGTAAATAAAAGAGAAAAATGTCAGTTCCCATAGTTCCTACAAAGGCAATTAATTTGTGGGCCTATTTTTTTTCTGGCATCTTGAAAAAATAAGACAGTGTGAGACAATGGCCTGTGATTTCTGGTTCTTTGTGACAGTCATCTTTTCTCCTGGCAGCAGCCCCTTGCATATACGGCCGACTCCGCTCTCAGGCTGCTGCGCTTGCACATATCAGACCTGAGAGTTCTTTTCCCCCACACTGTGTAATTCTGGGCAGATACTCTGCTCTTGCTCTCAGCCAACATACTTCAAAGGAGTGATGAGGACATTGCAGGGAGTGGAGAGGAGGGGGCTCGGGCCAGGTCCACAACCAGTAGGCAGCCCATAACAGAGTGTCCTCTGCTTTCCGGCCCAGGGAGGTCGGGGCTGGTCACCACTCCAGTTGTTCCTGAGAGACTGAGCTGTGTTTTCCTACTGCATAAGAAAATTGCCAAGTATTTATACTCTCACTCTTGAAAGACTGTAATTTAAGAATTTTCATGGTGATACAATACACATAATATAAACTTTCTCCATTGTGACCATTTTTACATGTACTCTTCAATAGTGTTAAACACGTTCATGTTGCACAACAGATTTCTGACCTTTCTCATCATGTAAAACTGAAACTCTGCAACCATTAAACAACTCCCCATCCCCCTTCCCCTGAGGACCTGGTTACCACTAGGCTATTTTCTGTCTTTCTGAAAAAGGCCCTTCATATCAGTGGAATCCTACAGTTTTAGTCCTTTAGTGACTGGCTTCCTTCACTTAACATAAAGTCCTCAAGGTTCATCCATGTTGTAGCATTTGTGAGAATCTCCTTCCTTTTTAAGGCTGACTAATATCCCATTGTATGTATTTAGCCCATTCTGCTTATCCACTCATCTGCCCATGGAACAGTTGGGTGGCTTCGACCTCTTGGCTACTGTGAATGGTGCTGCTATGAACATGGATGTGTGCAACTATCTCTTTGAGACTCGACTTTAAATTCTTTTGGATATACTCAGAGTTGGGATTGCTGGATCATATG